TATTTTCAATATGCATTTCAGCTACTTCGGAGTCTTGGTGTGTATATTAGACAGTTGATCCACAACACGGCATCGGTGACCTTCTGTCTTCACATCGGCTAGTCTTCGATTTTGCCAATGGCTTTAAGTATGTACCAAGACACCAACTTACAAAGAACCAATAACTATTAAGTGTTGCTAAGGTAGAGGAACATATCAGTGGGTCATCACCAAATCAATAGGTGACCCAACACTCTTCTTCTCCCTTGCTCTCCTGTGTGCGAAGAAAATCTTAGTGTTCTTCATTTTCTTTCAAGAACTCTTTGTGTTATTCTTGAAAGTTCTTCCCCTTGTAATATTGTTTAGGTTAGGTTTTCCTTTCCTATCTTCCGCAAAAATCTTTTGTATTTATGTGTGTATTAATTCTTGATATAAATCAATAAGAATTAAAAAGTTGAAAAAAGTATGTGTAATTGTATTCAACCCCCTTCTACAATTACTTTCTGTGTATTGTTTTCCCCTTCGGGACTAACAAGTGGTATCAGAGCGGTTAGCTTAATCTCATAAGCTAGATCTGCAATGGCCTCTTCTTCCAACTCTGCTCCTTCTTCTTACCAAGACAATGACACTATTGCCAAGCCTCCCAAGTTTAACAAAAACAATGTGGAAAAGTCGCATGACACTCTACCTTGAGGGTGTTGATAGTCAATATCTTTCTATCCTCAAGGATGGACCCATTCTTCCAAAAGTATGGCTTCGTCATGGAAAGAACAAGACGATGGTAACTCTTCAAATAATTCTGATGATGATGAAGAGAAATCTGATTCTACTGGAAGGTTCATCATCAAAGATCCTTCTCAGTATAATGAAGATGATAAAAGAAAAGTTTCCTTGGATACCAAGGTAAGGGCTATCATTGCACTCTCTCTTCCTGATGATGTCTTCCACTCCCTGGTAAACCTCTCTACTGCCAAGGACATATGGAACACTCTATGTGTTCTGTATGAAGGAACCATCGAAGTAAAGAAAAGCAAGAAGATTGGCCTCGTTAGGCAATATGACCTCTTTGTTCACGAGAAAGGTAAATCTCTCACTGAGTACTACAACAGGTTTAAGTGCCTTCTCAATGATCTAAAGTTTCATGGCCGAGTCTATGAAAACGAAGAAGTCCTATGCAAGTTCATGGACTATTTACCTGACTTCTGGGAAAACATATACACTTGTATCAAGACAAGTAAGATCTTGAAAATATGTCTATTACTGCTCTTTATGGAACTCTCCATAATTATGAGCAAACCAAGCTTCTCAAAAAGGCATTATTAAAGGATCCCAGAACTTCTTCTCATGTTGCCATTCTATGCAGTGATACGAGGAAGCCAGTCAGTGAACCTCGTATTACTTATCTGACTGAGTCTGAAGAAGATGCTGTCAGAAAAGAAGAACTTGCTGAAAGCCATGCTGATGATGCTGATGATGAGGGTGATGAACTCTCAGTTAATGACTTGGCTGACAACATGGCCATGATGGCTACCAACTTCAAAAGGTATGCCAAAAAGGGCTCTTCTAACTTCTCTACCAGATCTAAGGTAACCGACCGAAGAACCTTAGATCAATCTAAGTCAACTCCTCTTGATCTGTCAAATGAGGAGTGCTTCAATTGTGGCAAGAAAGGTCACTTTGYTGCTGAGTGCAAAAGCAAAAGGATCTCTAAGCGTCATCCTTCTCATCYYTCTAGCCGATCCTCTCACGATAAGTACAAGGCAAAGTACAAGAGAGAAAAGGCAAAGAACCAGAGCCTTCAGAGAAAAGGTAAGGGTCTCATCGCTGAGATTCATGACTGGATTGATGAGCCAACCTCTTCCTCCAGTGACGAGGACATGGCACATCTGTGTCTAATGGCCAAAATCCAGAAGATAGAAGACTTTGTCAAGGGATCCTCCTCCTCTACTGCTGCTGTTGCTGATCTATCTTCTACCTCTAAGGATGCCAAAGATCTGGTCAAACCAAAGAAGGTAAATAACTTATCCTCTCTCTGTGAATCTGAAAAGGTTCAAGCTTATGATTCTTTATCTGTTGATCCTTACAATACTAGATCTGCTAAGAAGAAAGCTGACCTTGAAATCAAAAGTCTAACTAGTCAGTTACATAAATGCATGAATCAACTGAAAGACTTTGATAAATTGAAAAATGACCTTAAAGAACAAAAGTTAATAAACAATGTTCTTAACAAAGAAAAATCTAAGGTCTTTGAGAAGCTGGAGAAAGAAAAAGTCATTCTTCAAAAATGGGCTGGATCATCCAAGAACCTAGATAAAATTTTACATGATCAACTTTCTATTGAAGTAAAGACTGGCCTAGGTTATGATGATATGGATTTGTGTGCTCCTGATGACTCTATGTGCATTTCTTCTTACATTCTTTCTTCTTCCTCTCCATCTCACTTATCTGATTCTGTTGGATCTCTTTCTCCAAGATCTAATGAAAATGGAAAATCTCTTAAGTTCGGAATTTTTGTCAAAGCTAACAATCCAAACTCTGAATATGAGAATGTTCCTGTAGATTGTGTGTTTAACTCTCTCTCTCTCTCTCTTAAGGAATCTCCTGCTGCATGCTCATCTAAATCTAAAACATTTGAGCATCTGAAGCATTCTTTAAAACGTCGTTTCACTACGGCTGAGAAAGGCAAGTCTGTAGACAAGCCTATCAAGAATAAGAAGCCAAAATGCAAACTGAAGATGAAACATAAGCCTTCGGCTACCACATCTCAGTCAGCTATTGCTTCTCAGAGTGGTACCTCAGTACCTTCAATTACTAAGTTCGTTCCTCGATCTGTTTCCTTGAAAAAAACTTCCAAAGTTTCTACCTCTTCTAAGAAACCTATCCCTGAGTCTGAAAAAGGGATTCTTGGTCCAAAACCCTCTTCATCCTCTGTCCCTCCTTCCAAAGCTTCTTCTTCTCTCAAAAAATCCAATAAGCATGTTAACACAGTTAAGCACACACCTTTAATTTCTATTAAACCTGTGTTTATTTATCGAAAATGTTATAACTGTGGTGACACTTTTCACATGGTCAAGAACTATCCCAATGAAAGAATCTCCAGGCCAATAAGAAAAGAGAAAGAAGATACTCCTAACCCTAATGGACCCATTGTAAAATGGGTACCTAAAAACTGATTTATCTGTGTTTGTAGGGCTTAGGACACCGACAGATATGGTACTTGGACAGTGGATGTTCAAGACACATGACTGGAAACAAGTCCCTGTTGATCAACTATGTGTCTGAACCAGGTCCTTTTGTAACCTTTGGAGATAATGCCAGAGGTACTACCGAAGGATACGGTGTTCTTTCTAACGGCTCGGTTACCTTCAACCGAGTAGCTTATGTGGATGGATTGAAGAACAATTTGTTAAGCATCAGTGAACTGTGTGATCTCAACTTCATTGTGAAGTTTGAAGAAAACCAGTGTACTATTCTTGACTCTTCTGGCAAGAAGATATTAACTGGTATCTGAAAGTATAATGTCTATGTGATCAACATGGACTATTCTAGCTCTTCCGATGCCAACATCTGTTTCTACTCCGAGGCTACTGCTAATCAAAATTGGCTATGGCATAAAAGGTTGTCTCATCTCAACTTCAAAGCCATCAATAATCTTTCTAGTAAAGATTTGGTTATTGGACTTCCGAAGATGTCATATGTCAAAGTGAAGCTGTGTTCTGCTTGTGAAAAAGACAAGCAAACCAAAGCAAGTTTCAAGTCCAAGATGTGCTCTTCTATTTCTGCTCCTTTGCACATGCTCCACATGGATCTCTGTGGTCCTGTGAGTGTACAAAGTTTGGGTGGAAAACGTTATACTTTTGTAATTGTGGATGAGTACTCAAGATATACTTGGGTCTTCTTTCTTCAACACAAGAGTGATGCAGCTGAAGAAATTATCAACTTTGTGAAGCGGACTGAAGTCTTGAATGGTCAACTTGTCAGATCAATTCGAAGTGACAACGACACTGAATTTAAAAACAGTGTTCTTGAAAGCTTCTTTGATGACAAGGGTATTTCTCAAAATTTCTCAGTAGTTCGGACTCCACAGCATAATGGAGTTGTTGAAAGGAGAAATCGTACACTATGTGAAGCTGCACGTTCAATGCTAAGTGAAGCAAGTCTTCCGACCTATTTTTGGGCTGAAGCTGTCAATACAGCATRYTTYACTCAAAATAGGTCTATAATTGTGAAAAGACACAATAAGACTGCTTATGAAGTATTTCATGGCAGAAAACCAAACATCAGCTTCCTTCATGTGTTTGGTAGTGCATGCTTTATTCGGAATGACAGAGATCGGTTAAGAAAGTTTGATCCTAAATCTGATGAAGGAATCTTTATTGGTTACTCTCTCTTCTCTAAAGCCTATCGGGTGTACAACTTGCGTCGTCAGTGCATTGATGAATCTGTCAATGTTAGATTTGATGAATCTGGATCGGTGCCTGCAACATCATCATTTCAAAGTGATGATCTTGAGCTCAACAAGTTGTTGGAATCTCATTCTTCTAAGAATTAAACTCCAATCAGTGGACCTCCACACTCTAATGGAGATGATGTTCCACCTGTTGAGGAAGATGAGAATAAAGATCTTTCATTCAACATGTATATCCCATCGGTCTGTCCTGAACAAGAACCAGCCAATTCGGCACCTCTTTCCTGTGTGGAACCCTCAACTGGTGTCGATGTTCCTATTTCTTATACTAGGGACATCGGTGACCCAACCTCAGTAATCGTTTATTTCAATCCTCTGACGAATGCTGACGATGTCTCTACCTCTCTTCCTCTTCCTCTTCCTCTTCCTCTTCCTCCTGCCACTAAGTGGACTAGAGATCACCCAATAGAGCAAATCATTGGTGATCAACAAGCAAGTGTCCAAACACGTCATGGTGCTGGTAATATCTGTTTGTATGTCAATTTTTTATCTCTCATCGAGCCTAAAAGGATTGAAGAAGCACTTGATAATCCTAGCTGGATTAGTGCCATGCAAGAAGAACTGCTACAGTTCGAGCATAACAAAGTTTGGAGACTGGTCCCCCCGACCAACCAACAAAACAATTATTGGCACAAAGTGGATCTTCAGAAATAAAATGGATGAGAACGRAACGGTGACTCGGAACAAAGCCCGACTCGTTGCCCAAGGATACAGGCAAGAGGAAGGCATTGATGATGACGAGACATTTGCTCCAGTAGCAAGGTTGGAAGCTATCCGGATCTTTCTTGCCTATGCTGCATTCAAGAACTTCAAAGTTTTCCAGATGGATGTCAAAAGTGTCTTCTTGAATGGGAAACTTACTGAAGAAGTCTATGTGAAGCAACCTCCAGGCTTTGAGGATCCTAAACATCCAGGGTATGTCTATAAATTAGACAAAGCTTTGTATGATCTCAAACAGACTCCTCGTGCATGGTATGACACTCTCTCTACTTTTCTTTTGGATAACGGTTTCTCCATGGTAAAATTGACAATACCTTCTTTCTCAGGAAACATAAAGGTAATGTCATTCTTGTATAAATTTATGTGCATGATATCATATTCGGTGCCACAAAAGTGTGACAGCAGTCAAATTCGAAATCTCAGGTTAGCTTTTATTAAGATTATATTAGTTATTGAAGTTAATTTATAGATTAGGAATTAGTTAGGTTAGTTTAGTCGAAAATTTTTAAGAATTTTCGGCAGTTGCTTAGAAAGTCCGGTTTCGACTCGAAATTATCTGAAAC